TGCAAAGAAAAAGAAGAGAAGCTGGTAACCGAAATTTGGATTACAATCAATTAATTTTTGATGAATCTTTGTGCGAACTTAACAAAATTGTAATTTCTCTTTGCGGTAAAACAGTTGCCGATTTTTCACTTGCATTGATAACTGACGCCAACACTATCCATAATACGATTTATGCGAGAGAAAAATCGTATGATCAACACAAACTACTTGAAATTGTTAGACAAAATGAAGATAAGCTTAATTCAGAACAAAAAAGTATATATAATTCAGTTTCAAGTTCTGTTTTTAATCATGAAGGCAAAATATTCTTTCTTGATGCCCCTGGGGGTACAGGAAAAACCTTTCTTATTAATTTACTGCTGGCAAAAATTCGATCTTCAGGGGAAATCGCATTAGCTGTTGCATCCTCAGGCATAGCAGCAACTCTTCTCGACGGCGGAAGAACTGCTCATTCAATGTTTAAGATTCCACTTAATGTAACTGAGGAAATAAGTAGTATATGCAACATTCCTAAACAAAGCAGTACGGCTAAGCTGATGCAAGAGTGTTCGCTTATAGTTTGGGATGAAGCTACAATGGCCCACAAGTCAGGAGTGGATGCTTTAGACAAAACATTGCAAGACTTACGCAACAAATTTTCGCCTATGGGAGGATGCACAGTACTATTTTCTGGCGATTTTCGTCAAATTTTGCCCGTGGTTTCTAGGGGAACAAGGGCAGATGAAGTAAAAGCGTGCTTGAAAAGATCGCAGTTGTGGCAACATATGTATAAAGTCCTGTTACAAAAAAACATGAGATTGACCTCCGGTCTGGCAAATGAACTTTTTGCTAAAGCACTTCTCAAAATTGGTATTGGAAAAATGACAGACAATAACTCTAATGTAGACATAAATGAAAGCCTGTGTGTACCTGTGAAAAGCCTTGAAGAACTTCTAGAAAAGGTTTATCCAGATATTTCAAATCTAAGGGGAATGACTTTGGATTGGTTTAAGGAGAGGGCTATTTTAACACCAACAAATGATGAATGTAATGTAATAAATAACATGGTTCAATATAAATTTGACGCTCCTAATAAGACTTACTATTCGGTAGATACAGTTCTCGATCAAGAGCAAGTAGTTCATTTTCCGACCGAATTTCTTAATTCATTAAATCCTTCTGGCGCACCTCCACACAAACTTAATCTTAAACTAGGCTCACCAGTTATTTTGTTAAGAAACCTAAATCCCCCAAAACTTTGTAACGGCACCCGCTTGATCATAGTATCTTTTAAAAATTATTTAATAGAGTGTAAGATTATAACTGGATGTGGAACTGGGGAAATAGTATTAATACCCAGAATACCTATTATTCCGACAGACTTGCCTTTTCAATTCAGACGGCTCCAATTTCCTTTAAAACTGTGTTTCGCTATGACAATCAACAAATCTCAAGGCCAAACGTTTGAAGTCGCTGGAGTGGACTTAAGTGTCAACTGTTTCTCTCATGGTCAGCTTTACGTTGCTTTGTCGCGAGTTACTAATAAAAATAATCTTTTTATTTTTGCT